ATTTTCAGTGATAAATTGATTAAAGTAAAATAAATAGAATATATATGAACCATTAAAATTATTGGAAAACTACAAAATTTCCATTAGATGCACAATAAGCACACAAAATGATTAAATCAAGGTGTTTCACTTTATTAGATGCTATGACAGGACTAATGAAAAGCTTTTCTCTAGCAGTTTTTATTGAAAAATGCCTCCCACAACACAAAATATTTATATCAGCTTAAAAGATGCTAAAAAGTACATATTTGCTTTTTAAAGTATTTGTGTTCAATCAGGATTTGCCATCACAAACCTTACTGACCTGCTGAAGAAAGGTTTGAGCCAATAGTTTAAAATCTTTACATTTAGTCATATCAGTATGTTTAGACATCTTTTCCAGTGATTTTGAAYATTTGCTATTAAAATGCTTTTATTTTGAAGTTGTTTGACTTTTGTTAATAAAACAGACGGAGGTTGAACTTGAGTTCAGGGCCGGCCTGTGGCGTAGGCAGTACAGGCAAATTCTAAGGTCACAGTCCATGTAAGGGGCACCACAAATTGTGGAGGAAAAAATATATTTTACAACATTTCATCAGTTAATTTAGTTTGTAGAATTATCACTGATTATTGAGGTAACTCGTTCTGTGGGTTTCTCAGCCTGCTTTGCCACATGAGGTGTTATATGGTGCAGAGGATATTTTGTGATAAAAGTATCATATGAAGCAGACAAGGCTAACTACGGATGCTTATTGTGTAAAAACAGAAATAAAATAAGAATACTGAAAGTTTCAGTTATGATCTCAGATAAAGTTCAGGTTAAAGTCTAGTTTTCAGTGTCCTACCTTCATAAAATACTAATTTGTGTTGTGTTATTGATTCCAAGAATATAGTAAAATGCTGTTCAAATGGATGGAAAATACATCGTTTTGAGCACAAGTTTTACAACATTTTTCAGGCAGTATAGCCCTGTCCCTCTAGAACTGCTTCACACCACAGCTGCTCGTTAACATGACCAGGTGTTCCTCATTGCTGTCAGAAGATGCTGACAAGTATTCTGCTTCAAATGAATTATATTGTTTACTATTTAATTGGGCAACCAGGTTTCTAAAGATAAAACATAATATAAAAAATTATGTGTCAACGATAGCCATGTGATGGATCAGTCACATGGAGGCAGTGCTTRAAAGCCTGAATTTTGCCTGAAACTCTCAGACTGAAGAAGTCTCTTGGAGGAGAGACGAAACGTTTCATTAGAGAAGAACCCGTCCAGAGGACCTATACAATTTTTTTATTTTTGATTTTTTACCTGGATTACTGAGATGCATCAGGACATAAAAAATAAAACTTTTATTTGGTATGTGAATATAAGTAAATTGGTGGTGAGACAAGCRGTGCCACCTGAAATCTTGCCTGTGGCATCAAATTGGCTACGGCTGGTCCTGCTTGATTCATGTTTTTTTTTTTTGTTGTTGTTCTCAAGTAATCTAACCAAGAAAAATGGAAATGCATGAAGAAGTTTTGCAAGAATCTCTGKGAGAATCATGAGCTTTGCACTGGCTAAAGTTAAAGGCTACAAAAGATCTACAAAAATAAATAAATAAAAGGTATCAATCAATGAGCTTCCAGCTTATGTGCATTGATGTTATTGTGTTTTGTACCAATCTTAAGATTATAAAAGAGAGGTTTTCCATGTATTACACTACTAAACTCTAATATTGTATTGCTGTGTTTTTCAATAATTAAACTAAACTGACAAATCAGTTATTTTCATTTTCTATTAAAGTCATCTCCAWCATCAAAGATAACATTAATTTAAAAAGTTCCCTTCAACTTACTATTTTTGACAATTMATGTCAGTCAAAACTGAAAACCTTTACATTSTGACMAGCAGGTAGAATATAATGATATTATAGCCTGGTGATGACATGTGCTCATGACAAGAATCATACACCATAACCTTCAGCACCAGTGATGGACAGGTGATGAGATTAGTCACCTGGATGAAGAAGAGCTGTCAGAATGACAGAAGGTGTTGCAACATTTTCACACAGTGTCACAAAGCTACTAATATATGGTTAAAACAGGCCTGTTCACCCCAAACACAGTGGTCAGAGGTGTAGGTGTGTGTTCAACACTAACTCAGAGAAGCGTGTGGTTATTTCATTGATCGCACAATCTTCGGGAGTTGTGAGTATTTGCAAAGCTGCTGCTTCTGGTTTCAACCCTGAGACTTTGTGAATGGTCAAGCATTTTATTGTTTTATTGTAAACAGGGACCACAACTAACTTTTTTTCCCCGTGTCGATGAAGACAAAGTGATTTCTATAATTGCACAGACATTTGCACAAAGTACAAACGGGACCGTGTTCAACCGTTGCCCCCTTCCACTCTTTATCAATTTGTCACTGCCTCCAACTCCCGTCCTGGCTATGGATGACCTCAGACGGGGATCCCGCAGAGATAAACCTCAGCTCTTCCCTTATATTTGCTCTTGACCAGGCCATCAGACCTAATTTGTACCGTCAGGCTCCGCTGACTCCAGTTTGCTCCGTCTAGCACTTCAAATCCGGCATTAATTTCCCCCCACTTTGCCGGCTCAAGGACAGCAGCCCGTTCTTTGCAGCTTGAAAAACTACAGTTGTGTAAGAGCAATACTTGTGCTCAGATTGCAGAGGGTTTTTTTTCACAGAATTTATTATATAGCCTGCTCTTATTGGTAGAATTCAACCAGTATATTCAGGAGATAAAATCTTGTTGGATAGACATTAAAACGCCTCTGAGTGTTAAAGAATGTCTCAGATCATTGGGTATCTGATCAGGTGGTGAATTGGTAGAAAGAAATAGCTACTAAATACTGATAATATTGTTATTAGCAGATTTATGTGAGAATGTGTACTCTATACAGCAGAAATTAATACATTAAGCATGTAAAAGTGSTTTTAAAGATGACTTTGCTACATGTTATAACCAATTTCAAACTCACAAAGGCACTTTGACTAATTATAAGTTTTGTTTATAATAAAGGATCCCAACTATAAAGCAGAGTGGAAATGAAATAAGGAAAATCAAGCACATCAATATAAAATGCATATTGACACAGCAATTAAGTAAACATCTACTTTTTAAATGTTACTTTACACGCTAAAACTGCTGGGTTGAAAACAGCTGGGTCAAATTCAGACCTACGTAGTTTTAATTCAACAGGGTTGGTTATCATTTTTACCCATCTAATCTAAGTTTTATACCTAAAATTTTGATTAAAATTAACTATTTGTTTAATAAGAGTTGCAAAAACGTTGAGTTAAAATGAAAAGCCAACAATCTAGGTAATTGTGTAATTACAACTTGGGTTGTTAGCTAGCTGTCGCTTGTCATGATTTGGACCAAACATGTAAACAGACAGAAAGAGCTCTACAAAATACAACTTTGTTTTAATAAAACAAAAAAAAAAGGCTAAACTTACAAATATTCTGGAGACTCTTCTCTTTTTGGTTAAGGATGGACTGAAAGCTAACAGAATAAATGGGCTGAGGTTGATGGGATGAGTGACTGCAGCTGTGATTAATTGGGAATGAGATGCAGGTGGGGTGGGTGTGACAAAGGGAACAGAACACTGACTGAGGAGAGGTAATAAATGGCACRAGGACTGAGAAAAACACAAGTCACRAAGTGAACACAAAGAACAATAACACCACAAGAAAACTAAACACTGAAAAACAACTGATCCTGACAGCTAACTGCTATTAGCATCAGCTATAGCAACAATAAGTGTTGTTTTAGGAAACCAAATTGACTGTTTACGGCAAACTAAAGCCAAAAGCTCTTGCAAGTTGTTTTATCATCGTAACTATAATAAAATAATAACTCAACCACTGTGTCAAATGTTTCAACTCATAATTTGATCAAACCAGCCCAACCCATGACCYTACAGATGTAGCCCAGCAATTTAGTTCTCAAAATAACCAGTGGTTTTTAAATACTGAATGAATGRACTGGTATGGGTGATTTACCCAAAACTGAACATACTTTATAGAACATACACACAGGGGCGGAGCTAGACTTTTGTTCTTTAGTGGGGCAAATAAAGACAAGCACTCAAGATTTGAAAATTCAAGACGGYCGCCACAGCAAATTCCAAATGCCTTTCATTCAGCTGTTTTAAAAGAAAATTGAACTGATATTTTATAAGATTATAGCTAAGAGTGATCCAAAAACATGCTGAATGCTAGTGACAATTCAGCCATTTTTATACAAAGCTCACGATCACTGTAGAAGTTACCAAAAACAATCTGCCAAACTTTAAATGCTAATCAAAAATTTAAGAGGGACACCACAGCCAACTTCAAAAGGCTGTAACTCAACCATTYGAAGACTTATTGAGAAGAAATGGGGAGTGGAGTAGCTAAGAATGATCATGCTGATGCTAATACCATAATAAGCTAACCACCAATGCTAACTCTAATTTAATAAAAGTTTATAATTCAGCCATTTTCAAACATACACAGCTGAAAATTTATACAGTATACAGTAGTACCAGAAAACAATATTTAACTAAATCTAAATGCAAATACAAAATCCAAGATACCTCCAAAGCATGTCAGTTATTTGGGGGTGGCCAACCAGGTGCCAGAGTTGGCACTTGCCACTACAGCCACCCCTCTGGCTCCAMCCCTGCATGCACATACATATTTTAAAATGAAGATCTCCACAAATAAATATAAAGTTTCAAATTATCCCTCTTCCAAAGTTCCGTTTTTTTTTTTCAGCACCACAGAAAGCTGCAKGATGGGAGCTCTCCAGGGTCCTGCCGGTCCTGCCTGCAAACTTAACGCTAAACTGGAACTGAATGGACAATTAAAGAAAAACTCTCAAAGAAGCTGAGAGGGCTCTGCAGCTTCACCCTCTCCTGGTTATTGAGAGGATCGAGCGTCAGTCTGTCTAAAACTGATGCTAATGACTAATTAAGTAGTTATTATTATTATTATTATCAATTATTTTTTTTAAGAAATGCAAACTTACGAGTGCCATCGAACCGTGTGGCTATGGTGTCCAGAAAGGTGTTCTGTGGCGCCAATAAGCCCTTCATCACAGGCATGGTCCCTGCTGAGTGTCCAGGTCCCCATCAAAGTTACTGGCTACGAGCTGCGAGGCGTCGTGCGCGCGTGAGCTGCTCCCATCTGAGCTCCTTCCCGTCCTTTCTCCTCCAGCTCCGGCTCTGCTGCCGAGGAGTGCCGCCGGGTGCTGGAGACGCGCGTGCGCGAAAGGAGGACAGGTGCGGCTCAGGTGAGAGAGAGAGAGAGAGAGAGAGAGAGAGAGAGAGAGAGAGAGAGAGAG